CCCCCGTCTCCACTTTGGCCCACCCCTTGGCATTGACTCCTATGGCTGCCTGCTCAGTGCTCCAGCCTGGCTCCTTCCAGAAGGCTCTCCTGCAGCCAGAGGGATCTTGTTAGAACAAGTGTCAGAGGCTGTCCCTCTGCCCTGAAGCCTACCATAGCTCCCAATTTCCTCAGAGTCTAAGTCAACGCTTCTCGCCAAATACATCTCAGAAAATAGCCAGCCAACAACAACAAAACAACTAGACCCCCATACACGCCTCCCCCCCCCCACTCCCGGGCCACAGAGCCTGGCCTTGCTGCTGTCCTGGACCCCACTGCTTTCCATGTCTCCTCTCTCTCGGCCCACTCGGGCACCATTCGAGTTCTTAGGACCACCAAGCCCCACCCTCTTCTGGGCCTTGTTCTTGCTCCTCCATCTACCTGTTCTGTGTTTCTCCCTCTGATTCAACCGTGGATGGCTCCTTTTCATCCTCCAGGGTTCAGTTCAAATGTCACCTCCTCCCAAAAGCCCACCACTCACTCTAAGGCATCTTCCTCAGGCCAGCTCTCTGCTTATTTCCTTCCCAATCCAAGATTTAGCCCAATTCTGCCCCCTCACACACACACCGGCCCAGAGTGGAGTGGCCTCTCCATAAGGGTAGGTAGGGGCTTTGTTTTACTCCAGGCCCAATGTCCTGGGCTTAGAACAGTGCCTGGCACCAGATCAGTAAGTCCCTGAACAAATGGGTAACGAACGCTGAAGGCAGCTAATATCGATGTTGAGAGCTTGCTAGGTGCCAAGTACTTAGTTAAAATCTCCCCAGCAGTCCTAGAAGTCATTTAGTGACACTTCTACTTAACAAGCAAAGCTGAGACCCCACCCTATGTGCCCCTTCTACCTCCCCCAAAATCAAATCAGACTCTCGATACTCACCCAACTCATCTGTGAAAAGAAGAGGGGAAGAGAAAGAAAGATGAGGTTCAGAAAGTTAAGACTCCATCCCCCCATCCTCCCATGCAGCTTTTCTCTCTACCCTGTTCCCCTCCCCAAACACTGGGCTCTAACTCCCTGGGGTGCCTAAGTTCCTCTTGGGTGACTTTTCTTTTAGGTCTCAATATTGGGGGTCCGAGGGTCAGGGTATCCTAACATTAATTCAAATGCATGCCTAAAATATTTAGGCCAAGGATTACAAGCTTTGTTGCAACTCCAAGAAATGAAGGGACATTTCACCAAAAGAAATATAAAGATCACTACGATCCTAAACAAAATGGAAGGTGCTCCCCACCGAAGTTCACCCAAGACCCTGGAGACCTAGCTCACCCTAGATCCAAGAAGGCTGACCCTCTGCCCACTCACTCTGCACCCAGGTCCAGCCTGTCCCAGCGCCCAGCAAGGATCTGGGAACCCTCTTTCTCTGTTTCTCGAGGGAGGAGTAACAATGCTAACTCCATAGGAAATAAACAAAATAAACAAAAACAGGTGCTGCTCAATAAATCCAGCCAACTCTGGGTGACTCTGAATGTGTCAGAGTAGAACTGTCCCCTACAGGGTTTTTAAAAGCTGGTTTTCCCGAAGCAGACCTCCAGGAGTTTCTTCCGAGGCACTCCCAAGGGGTCGGGCTCAGACTTCCAATCTTTCAGTCAGCAGCCCATCGAGTGAACACTGTGCCCCAATCACCCAGGACTCTTGGGTCCCCAGAGCAGAGATGTCCCTCGTCACCTCCTTGGGAAAGATCAGGCCTGAAAAGGATCTGTGGAGATATTGAAACCAACCTCCCTTCATTCTTTTCAAGCCCAGAAGAAACCCAAGAGGGAGGGAGGGAGGGAGGGAGAGTGGGCAGGTGTGGGCCAGATGCCCCACCCAAGGCCGTCCACGCTGATCCTGGCCGCTGCCTGGGGTTTGTGTCTGTCAACCTGCCCTCCTCCACTCTTAGGGAGTGGCACCCCAAAGCCAGACCTTTGTCCCTTTGAAAACTGTCTCCCTGCATCGCTTATCTCCTGTGATCTGTGAAGTCAGCAGAGTAAGGAAGATAACCCCACTTGCCAAACGGGGTGACTGAAGCTGGGACAGAAGAAGAGACATGCCTTTTTGTTAGCGGCAGGGCCAACCACAAGTCACTCCAATTCAGAAGCTTTCCCAGACATCGCTGTGCTGGATGACCTGGGGTCTTTGCATCCCCTCTCCCAAACGTCAGGGAGAGACTGAGTCACCAGGGAAGTAGCTGGAGCTCTGGACAGTCTGCCTTTGCTATTTGCTTTGCTATGTGGCCTTGAGTGCATCACTTAACCTCTTTGTGCCTTGTTTTCCTCATCAGTAAAATGGGTACAATATGAGTGACTGCTCGCTTCAGTGGCCTGGTGTGAGACTGAAACGGCAAACACTTAGACCTGCAAAGTTCACCTCAAGATTCTACCTTCAGGAAAAGGTTAAAGCCCAGCACATTGAAGTCACTGAATATTGACAGAGTTGAGGTCCAATCTCAATAACTTTCCCATATGTAGCAAACTTACAAATGAGAAGATATCATAATGTGACCAAGAACTCTGCATCTCTGTGAGAAGTGTTGAATTGTGTGGGCCAAGGGAGGCCATGAAGGCATCGACCTCTCTAGTGGTTTGAATCCATCAGCAGCTCAGAGGGAGAAAGATGGGCAATTGACAGGCCCCTGGAAACCTGCTGTGCGTCAGTTCTGACTGTACAGTAGTGAAAGGCTGAGGGAGCAATGGTTCCCAGCATCCTTTGGGAATTTGCAACCAGCCCCAGCTGCCATGGAATCAATTCCAATTCATGGCGACCCGATGTGTTGCACAACAGAACTAGGCTCCACAGAGTTTTCTTTTTTTTTTTTCTATAATTATATTTTATTAATTTTCATAAACATTTACAGAGATTTTGGGCTTCCACTCATTCATTGTTGCACTCACAGAGTTTTCAAGGCTGGGACTTTTGAAAGTGGACCCCCTAGGTCTTTCTTCCGAGGCACTTCTGGGTGAGATGGAACTGCCAACAATCTTTCATTTTGTGCTTAACCATTTGTGCCACGTGGAGACCCAAAGGCTGCTAAAAACCACAACCAAACCCACTGCCATTGACTTCATTTTGACCCACAATGACTCTCCATTGGATTTCTGAGGCTGTAAATCTGAGGAGATTGTCCACCTTTCTCCCATGGATTCAAACTGCTGACCTTAAATACATCACCAGGGTTCCTAGCAAATTCTCAAGCCCCAGCCTTGACCTGCTGAATCTGAAACTCTTAAGGGTGTGGCTGAGGAATCGGTTGTAACAAGCCTTCCCTTGTGTTGCAAAGAAAGGTTTTTGATATGTACCTTCAACCAGACTGACTCATACTGGACCCTTCAGTGGGTTTTCAGAGGTAGCGAATTGCACAGGAGTTGATTGCCCATCTTTCTCCCAAGGAGCAGCTGGTGAATTCAAACTGTGTTTTGAGACTAATAACAAGAGTAATCGTAATACTTATACTATTTCTATGCAATCTGTATGACTTAACAGGAGCCTTGGTGGTCCAGCCTGCAGACAGCTGCACCCCGCAGGAAGAGCCTCTGTGGCGGTAAGTCACCAGCAGCTCCAAAAAGAAAGATGGTCTGTGTCCTTTGGTGTGATTTACAGTCTCCCAAAAGCCTGCCGGAGTGTCAGCTATGAGTTAGTTCTCTCTTGATGGCAATGAGTTGTGAGGGTGAGTTTGTTTTGTTTTTTTTTAACAGTTAGTAGTGACTGAGCCTTTATTGTGTAACAACACTGCTTTAAAAATTTCGCCTCAGGGGAGCTCTGGTGGCCTAGTAGCAAGAAGCTGCACTGGAATCCCAGAGATATGTGGTTCAAATCCACCAGATGCTCTGCTGGAGAAGGAGGGGCCATCTCCTCCTGTACCAGTCAGATCTGATTTGATGGTACACACACACACACAAAATAATAATAAAAAGTTCACCTCAATCAGCCAGCTCACTATAATCTCTCCAAACTTCTAGAAGTGAGGCAATAATGGTATTGTACCTATTTTACAGATGAGGAAGACTGAGGCCTGGAGAAGAGAAGTTGCTTTGCAAAAGCAAACACAACAAACACCCCTCACAGTGATGGGTAGTGACACCAGCTTCATGGCTTAAGGTGGTCTGCACCACCATAGTGAGTCTCTTGGCCAGCTTCGAACCAGGTGGTCCGGAAGCGCGGGGAACCCCCACAAAAGCAGGGAGACATACCAGACAGGGAGGGCTGAACGGACATGAATGACTGGCAGACAGAGCAGTGCTCATGACCTCCTCTAAGATTCTACTCTGGAACCCTTAGTCCCCCTACATGGCCAGGGGACCCCCATCCCCACGCGCGGTGAGCGCGGGTTGTGGAGGGCTGCTCACCCGTGGTCCTGGAAACGGCCAACGAGAGCGAGGAAAGGTCACTTGGCCCTGCAGGCAGGAGGAAGACAGGGTCAAGAGGTGAGGGAGAACAGCTAGGGAACTACAGAATCTCCCAGGCGCCGCCCCTTCAAACCAGGCTCCTCCCCCTGGTCGCCAGCCTCAGGCATTGCTTCCTCCCCTCAACTCCATCGCACTCAAGCCCCACTCTTCCTCTCGCTTACAAGTCAAACCTGCACCCCCTTCCCACCCTCAGTGGAGAAAGACGGCTTCTTCTTGGGGTCACACTCTAGCTACCTTTTCATTTAATTTATACTATCTATTTATATTTTTTATCAAACCTGCCCTCTTCTCTTTTCCGAGTCCCACCAAGCAGGCCTCACATCCTCCTCTTTTTGCAGAATCAGACTGGCCCCTCCTTTTATTGCCCTTCTCCGGGCCCCTCCTGGATCAGGCTCCATCCTCGACTCCTCTGAGCAGCCTGCGCTCCGCCTTCTCTGCCCAGACCCTGCCCTTTTCTCGGTTTCCTTCTCCGAGCTAGGCCCCGCCCCTCCCTGTGGTCCGCCCCCGCCCATCCTCCAACCAGGCCCCTCCTCTAGAACCCTTCTGAGTAGAGGCCATCCCACTCCCCGCCCCCTTGGCGGCTGGCCCCGCCCCCGCCCCGCAGGTTCTGCTCCTGCCCCTCCTCCTCCGCGCTAGTCCCCGCCCAC